CAAGTATTCATCTGAAAAACAACACAAAATGGTCTCAATCGAAATATTATCAAATTTATGCATAAACTTCAATGTACACATCATAGAAATTTATGAAAAATATTTTTTCAAACTATTTGATGAACAATTCGAGATTTAATTCAAATGATTAAAATTTTAATCATTTGTACTAAATTTCAAACGAAAACTAAGATTCACTTAGTGTTTATCTAAAATTATAACAAACCTTAATAAAACTAAAATTATTTAAACATAAAACATTTAATAAATATAAAATTAATCAACTATCTAATATAAATTAAAAATACAATTTAATAAATCATCTAAAAATCAATCCAACATAATCAATATTTCCTATCTAAATATTCATTTTAAGACTCGCGTCAAAACTAAATTTAATTGTAAAAATATTCTACAAGTTTAAATGAAACAAACATGTCAACAAAGTTCCTCAAAACCCTAAAAAAAATTGTCAAGATAAATAAAATAATATGAAACCTTACCAAAATCACATGTAAATCAAGTCATATCTGAACTTGAACAAATAAATCAAACTTCAAGTTTCATTCAATATTTAGTGTACATATCCAAACCTTGAATGGAGTTGGAGGGTGATGGAAGAGACATGATTGTTGTTGCGAAGGAGTGGTCGTCGATGGAGAAAGGAGAATTCACACTGCCACTTGAAAGGGTTCAAAACACATTCTCTACATGAAATCAATTGGTGAAAATGAAAGAAAATCATGTCACAAGAAGCCAAGCAACATACATTTGCATTAGATGATCAAATACTTACCTTAGATGGTGGTTTCACAGGTCGTCATAGTTGTTGGGAAAGAAGAAACTATAAAAGGAAAATGGTGGTTTCTTAATTTTTTTAAACAACCTATAAGTTCAAAGCTTATGGGATCAAAGTCAATTAACGATACATATACGGTAGGCGATGTCATTTAGACCATCAAGGAACCATTGTCAATTTTATTCAAGATGTACATATATGGATTGATGTGAAAATTATTTGCTTGCATGACGTTAAATGGGAGACGTGAAAAGCATTGTTTGTGTTAGTGTACCCTTCAAAGACTTCAAGACGTACATATGGATTGATGGATTCAAACTCTTCTTCTATTTTCTCCGACATTTAGAAGTTGAGATAAATTCGAAAAAAAAATTATAAAGAACCTAGAGCTTTGACTTTTGTAAGTTGACTTTTAACCCTTATTAGAGCCCATGTTAGATCCATAATTTCTTCAAAGCTTGAAAAACTAGAATTTATGTCGCCTATTTGAGGCCTAATTTTACTCAAAATACACAAATCAATTGCACAATTTTAAGATTTTAGTTTTTCTCTTTTTTTTATCTACTTTTGTCTTTTCATATTCTTCTTTTTTTTTTCTAATGTGTTTTTGTTATTATCTAACGGAGAATTAAGCCATTGAGATAAATTCACAAAAATTAACATCAAACAGCATAAATTAAGTTTTGCATTTGATCGTTCATCGAGTTCAATGTTTATCACTTTCCTAATTTTGATTTCTCTTCTTTGATATATCAATTTGCATTTCAGAAATTTAAATTTAAATTAAAAATCAATTGAATTTTAATGAACGGTATATATTAGAAAATTAGATAAATTTAATATTTTTGTTTTCACCCTACCATAATGGAAATCAAATTGTCGCCTTTGTCAAGGACTCAAGACGTGTCACATTTTAGTGTTCTTTAATTTTATTTCTTAAATTCTTCTTGTTCTTCATTCGTTTTTTTTTTTTTTGGTTTCTTGTATCGTGGATTCCTGAATTGGATTTCGTTCACTCTTGAATTCTTTTGTTTTTATTTTTTTTTTTAAAATAACAATAAATAAAGAAATTTGAATGAATTTTCGAAAAAAATATTGCAATTATTTTGTCTTATTTTATCTGTATTTGTTATTATTCTTGTTCTTTCTGTTCTTAAATTTTTTTGTTCTTATTTTTTTGTATACTCTTTCTGTTTTTTTATTTTCTATTTCTATTTTCTGTTTTTATATTTTTGTTTATATTATTAATATTTACTATTTCTATTTTATTATTTATTGTTTCTACTTTTTATTTGTTTATTCTGTTGCTGTTTTTGTTTTATTTGTTTCTTTCTCCTTTTTTAATTTGCAGTTTCTATTCCAATTTTTTTTTCTGTTTTGAATTTTTCTATTTCCTATTTTAGTTTTTCTATTCATGTTTTTAATCTTCTTCTATTTTTTTTTATTTGGCTGTTTTTATTTATTAAATTGTTTCTGTTTCTTTTATTTCTGTTTTCAGGGTTTTAATTTACTGTTTCTATTTTTATTTATGTTTCTATTTTTCATTTCTTTTGTTTTTATTTAATCTTTCTGTTCTTGTTTTCTTAAATTTTACTGTTCCGTTTTTTTTTTAATTTTTCTATTTATGTTTCTATTTTTTATTTTTTTATTTTTTATTTTACTTTTAATTCCTATTTTTGTTTTAAATTTTTCTCACAAAAAAAAACACATGCATTGTCGTTGCTTAGTTTATGATTTTTATTAAGATTTTCTCATAGCTAGTTTTATTCAGTTTTTAAAAACTAATTATTTTTATTTGTGAATATAGATTTGACTTTAATAATTAATCAATTAACATATTTACAAAATAACTCTTCAATATCATGTTTATATGGAAGTTATTATTCATTTTAACATATTCAACAATACAAAAATGGGATACATTTCGAGTCATATTGTAAGCAGTCATTACCTACCTTACTATGAGCTGTTGGAAATCCAAGTGTGAGTCTAAGTCTCACATTGGATAGAAATGAGAAAGTAAAGAAGTATATAAAAGTGAAAGATCCATTAACTCATTGCCTTAAGGTTTTGGGTAAAGAGTGGTGTCAATCTCTTATATGGTTGGGCTCAGGTCTCATTGGTATTGTGTCTCTCCCGTGAACCTCCTCTTTGATCTTGGTGACCGGCTCAGATGAGTATAATGATCCCTATACCGAAAGTCTTCCCGGCAAAAGGTATTCAGGTAAGCGAGTTTCGCCGCTGGAGGGGAAGTGTACCTATGTGGAAGGGGACTCACCCTTGAGGGGGAGATTGTTGGGAATCCAAGTGTGAGTCTAAGTCCCACATTAGATAGAAATGAGAAAGTAGAGGAGTATATAAAGGTGAAAGACCCATTAACCCATTGTCTTAAGGTTTTGGGTAAAGAGTTGTGTCAATCCCTTATATGGTTGGGCTCAAGTCTCATTGGTATTGTGTCTCCTAGTGAACATCCTCTTTGATAGACCCAACATGAGCCACATTAGATCATATTGCCATAGTCTTTTAAGCAACAATAGCAACCTTCACAATTGTATGAGGAACCATTGTAGTTTTAGCCATATTTACACTTTGTTCATTTGAATGGATTTGGGGAGAGTGATTGAATGAATTTGAGAGGATTTGAAGGTAAATTTTTTATTGTTTATTTGAGTGGATTTGGAGGTAAGTGAGAGTGAATTTGGAAGTAAAATTTGTGAAAATTAGTGTAAGATTTGATTGATGTGACAGATTTTGGAAGTAAAGCCTTATAGTATCATAACAATCCATATTTTGAACAATCATTATAACCAGATGTTGAGTAGTGCTTTTATGATGAATGTGACCAAGTTAAACCATTAAACAATGTTGTCACTCCTAATTTTGAAGAGCCCTCTTTAGAGGAGTTTTTGAGATTCCAACAAAATATAAAGGCTAGCCTCGTAATACTTAAGAGTCAGATTAGTCAGTGGGCTAGTAATGTGCATAAAATTGTTGATCCTCCAAGCAATGTAATTATCATGTTGTATGGTGTAAATGAAAGAGTTGAAGAGCTTGTATTAGTAGAAGATGACAAAAAAAAGCATGTGTTCCAAGATGTAGTGGAGTTTGTATTAAAAGAAGAGGAACTTAAAGAAGAGATAGAGCAATCTAAAAATCGCATAGATTTAGATTTTGATTTATCACAATTTTCGGAAACTTATTCAACATGCACTTATGGTTATGGTTCTGACGTGTGTTCTATGTGTTGAGATTAATTGTCATACATCAAGTTCTTATTACAGGTACAGAGTTTTATTCACATGACATAACTCTACTGATTATTAATGATCCTGATAACATTCGTAATGCACCTTTTAATACTCATTGAAACTCCTATTCATATTGATATTTCTGCAATTGATGACCATTCTAACATTGATGATGATTATGGACAATATTTGTAATGACCATACTGTCATTCATGTCTTAATTTTGTTTTTCTACAGAGAAATTGAATGAAAGAAGTTTTGTAAATTAAAATAATAAATCAATTATCTTTGGCCTTTCTTGGGTTCTATCTATTATTACTATTTCCTTATATTTTATTTTAGACTTGCTCTTCTGAAATGAATGTAGAATTATTAATAAACTTATCAATTATTACATGAAACTTAGGCCATGAAACTTAATTTTGGTGATGTGGAGTGTTGAGATTGTTAACCCATTGGTCATCTTTGACCTAAGTTCATGCATTTAACGAAGTACAGCGCTCCCCCCTTCAGTTAGATTGATTTAATTCAAATGTCTTCAGTTAGATTGGTTTATTTGCACTGATTTTACATAAAAAAATAAAAAATATTAAAAAAATGAACTCGCCTATTTACATAAAAATTGTTCGAGAGTTTTATGAATTATTTTTCTACCAGCCAACTTGTGGTCCTATTTCTTAGCATCTACACTTTCTTGACATACCGAAATATCTTTAAACAAAATCATAATAAAAACATAAAATTCCAAAACCAGCACTGTTTCATACTCAGATGATATCATCCAAGGGATTTTTGTAATCCGTTGCAGCACACATCACATAACTCGTCCCACTGTAACATTTTAACACTTCAAATTTTACACAAGCTAATAATTGTTTGATCCCCCCACAGTCCCAAAGCCTATTTTGTAATGTGAAGTGTCAGTAAAGCAACCAACTGCAAGCGAAAATCAGTTTCAGAAAAAAGTAACAAAATGTGCTTAACTTTCTCTAAACTTACAAAGGTCTCCAAAACCTTGCTGAGCAGCGTGACACGAGAAAAGGATCAGTCACTGTTAATGCCCGATTAAATGCAGAGATGAGATGCTCCGTCTCTTTAAAACTACCCTAGATACACTTTATGGCATTTGCCAGAACTCCTTCAGAACATTAAATAAATTCAAAAGAGAGATGGAAAGTATATATAACTTTTAAATGGATAAGAACAAAATTAGAAGACTCAACAATCAAAATTCCGTTTTTGCTTTAGCAGTTTTCTTCTATCCGTAAAAACGGCAAATGCAACTACTGTACCACCCTCTGTCTTTCATCACCATCCTCTTGCTCAACCTGACAACAAAAATCAAGGTTGCAATATCAGATTTTGAACCAAAAACTAAATACGGTTAAATTATAGTATAACGATTTTATAAAATTAATTTAGGGTCATAGTATTTCTAAAGTGAAATAAAAGTCTATCTTAGTAAAGATTGCAATATCAAGGTTGCAATATCAGATTTTGAACCAAAAACTAAATACGGTTAAATTATAGTATATCGATTTTATAAAATTAATTTAGGGTCATAGTATTTCTAAAGTGAAATAAAAGTCTATCTTAGTAAAGATTATTAGGCCACACACTTGAGATATCCAATTCTCAATGTGAGAAAGTATGTTGAAGATCTTACATTGACTATAAATATGATCAAATTATAGTCTATAAATAAGTATGTACAAACCTCCCGTTACAAGGTTTTGTGAAGTTTTTAAATTTGAGTTGAAGTTCACTTTTTAATAAAACTCAATTAACGTCAACAGAGAATAAATCCACTCTAATATGCAATGGCATTAAATTCAGCACTGTTTGGCACTCATACAGTTCACTTTATCATTCTTTTTTCTTTCTAAACGTTATTTTTAAAATTGAAGATGGAATGAAGTTAATTAGTGCCTTATTCTATAAACACAAATGCATATTAACAACACGTGTCAGAATGTAGCTTTGGCAAACCAAACACAACAAAAACTAGGTAATATCAAGTTCACTTTAGCATTGTTTTTTTGCTTTCTAAACGTTACTTTTAAAATTGATGATGGAATGAAGCTAATTGGTGCCTTATTCTATAAACACAAATGCATATTAACAACACGTTTCAGAATGTAGCTTTTGGCAAACCAACACAGCAAAAACTAGGTAATATCAAGCAAGAAGGGAAATTATCAACAAGGATTTTATTCACATTATTGTCAGAAATACTCATCACATGGATTAGACATGCATGTATAACATTATTGAAGTAAACATTGGATTAGCTTGTTAATAACTAACTTTCAAAAATAAAGTGGCATTGGCTCTATTTTCAGCTTTAGAAGAACAAAAAGGTTTCCACTTTCTAACAATCTATCTTGAAAGTTCTAAGTCAAGAAATTACAGTCTGGCATCGTTTATTTGAAAACAATATTGAAATTATTATACGCAAAAGTTCCTCTAAGTTAAGATGTTCAGATATTACTATCAAATAGCATTTGAGGTGCCGATAATATTTTCAAAGGAAACGTTGTATAATTACCTCAACAAGAACCCTTGTCTTCTTTGATTTAGAATCAAGGCCATTCTTCTCATGTTTCTTTGAAGCTAAAATCATTTTCCTTTTTGCTCTACTCTGATCAACTGCTTCATCATCTTCCTCTTCATCATCCTCTTCTTCAGAGCTTCCAGCTGCATAAGTACACTTTATCATGCTTTTGCTTTTCTAATGTGTAAGTTTGGAACTTTTTCCAAATTCACGAACACAGATTTCTTCTCAATATGAAAGACTCTCACACACAACAAATAATGAAATAATCAACACACAACATAAGCACCTCACACAAATGAGCATTTCAAGTTCTAGCTAAGCAGAAACTAGCTTTATATGTGACTGTTTATTGTATTTCTTCTATTTGAGGGGCTATCATTTGTGAAGACGTGATTGTAATCACTATACAGTTTAAATTACTTTTTCCCTTTTATCATCATCATAATTACAATTAAGTTCGTGATTCAAAATGAAAAAGAATTGGAAGATCTTATTACTGCATCAAATCTTGAAGAAATGAAGACATGAAAATGTATTATAGAAATTATGCGGCAAACAAAATTCCAATCTGAAACTTAACCCTGAATTTGGGCATCGATCAGGCAAAAGCAAATTTCCTGTCGAGAGACCAATTATTTAAAATAAAAATGGGAACACAATTCACTATTTCGTCACAAATAAAAAAATGACATCCATATACATTTCAACAAATGAAAAATACTCAATGCATGTTCCAAAGCTTCTAAACTAAATTTGAGCATTTTAACCAACATCATAATTACCCTGTGACTTGTGAGTAGCAAAACCACCAAAATCCTCCATATCTTCTTCCTCTTCAAGTTCATCATATCCTTCTACATATTCTACCTCTAGCTCCTGTCCATTCCAAAACAAAAAATAAACAGATCGAAAAGATTAAACACATTTAAAAAGGTAAATTCCAAATAAGTTTTAAATTAAACATGATAACAGACAAAAAAAATCGTTAGTGGACACATACCTCTTCATCCTCTTCCTCAACAGGTTGAAGATTCTCCATATCAAGAACTTTATTGTACTCTTCAAGAGGATAATTATATATATCACTTTGTTGATAAACACCTTTTTGAAGGCGTTCCAATAGCTCTTTTTCAATAGACTAAATAATATTGAAAAGCACCAATGAGTAAAGTGAAAAGTGAAAAAACATACAATATAATGTGTATGGGTTGTATGGGTAACATTAGGATTGACAATAACCTTTTCCAACAAAGCTGCTTTTTCAGCCTTCTCTTCTCTTCGAGCCTCTCTCTTTATCTGTTTCCTTGGAGTCGTCATTATTTTCTCCCTGCAAAACAGCAACCGCTATAAATAATATGATAAACTGCTCATAACAATTAATTGCAACATCAGTTTAAAAAATAGAATCATAGATAAAAGATAGAACACAAAATGTATGACCTCACCTTAAACATAAAATCATATTCAAAATAATGCATAGATACATACATGTGTATAAAAACAGACAGGAAGAATACCTATTAAGTCACAGCATTCAGAATTACTCCAATAAGTTCTGGAAAAAGGAATTTATACTTAAATAATGGGATTAAAATTAATTAACTAATAATGATGTTGTAGAAAACTTAGAGCCTAGCGTTGCAACACAAATGTAGAATAAATTATTACTAAATGCTCAAAATGGTTCAATACAAAAAACAAATCCCACGAGACCATCATTTCTACATAAACATGCATTGGTTGGTGCATTACAATATACAAGTAAATGATTTCATAATAGTGTTTGCTAATTAAACAAATATGGTACGGGAAAAGGACAGAGAGAAGGAAAAACCTGGACAACAGAAATAAATTATTACTAAACACTCAAAATGGTTCAATACAAAAAACAAATCACATGGCACCAATTTGTCCCTCTCTCTCTGTATACATACATATACATACATACATACATATATATATATATATATATATATATACATATATATATATATATATATATATATATATACACATATATGTGTAGTGACCAGGTAAACAATATTTGGCTGATGCATTACAATATACAAGTAAATGATGATGAGGCCCAGAAAATGAGTGGGCTACATGAAACCACTAGCCCATAAAGGTAGTAAGACAAGATGTGGAAAAGTGTATGTGAGAAAGAAGAATCGGATGGCTGAGGTGGTATAACTTAGGGGCAGAGCAGTTACGGGAGAGAGAAGAACATTTGGGTGAATGGAAGTCCTATTTGTATTCGGTTTTGCTATTAGTCAAGAAAAAGGATGAATTCTGGTAAAAAAAGGAAGGAACAGCTTGTGTTGCTCCAGAGGAGTGTAGCTCTGGGCAATGGGATTTTTATCCTTCTTGATTATGCTTTCATTAACAAAATAATACAAACATCCGTGTTTCCTTCTTGTAACATGATTTCTTATAGTCTTTCCTAATTAGACAAATATACAGGAGGTAGAAAGAAAAGGGAAAACCTGGCCAATAGAAATCAATCATAAGCAAATAAGCTGCCCCTCTGGCACAAACTTATCCAAGGAATGCATATTGAAGAAGTTTGGAATACAACTAGATGCCAAACTACCAAAAACACACAAAAAAATTCAAAAAATTAAAAGTGAGGAGTAAAATTAAATCTACAAGTGGGGGATCCAATTTTTTCCCTAAGCTGAAGCAATATAACGTGTTACTTTACCCAAAATGAATTTTCAGCAACAGAATTAAGCATGATGATAATAGTACTAGTAGCCCAATTTTTACTTTGCTAGTCTGGCTTCTTTTATTTCAACCAAATTTAGCCCAAAACCAATATAATCAGTAACCATTCAATGAAAATCAGATGAAATATGGAAGGGTATTGAGGTTTTACTCCATGTGACAATCTCATTCATTCACAGAAAATTAATTTTCCTTCACACATGCAAAATTGCCTTTATCAGACGGGTTATTCAAATGATACAAAAATTAGAGCATCTAGACTACAAGCTACTTGCATAAAAATTAGGCATTGGTAAACATGATAAGATAAAACAAACTGAATATGAGAATATGATTTCGAACCTCGTCTTCAAGGCAAGTTTCCTCATACGTATCCGCATTTGGGTCATTTTAGTCAGTCGTTGCTTTATCTTGTGTATAAGAAGCTTGGGCCAATACATCTGCCAATGCAGAAACACATTTAACTTGACAATAACTAACCAGTAAAATGTTGAATACTTAAATATGCCAAAGACTACATATATCAACAGTACCAGTTGTTTGTCTATGACTTCAAGTGCCTTCTCATAATTCCTAGGCAGCTTTACTCTTTCCCACAAATCTTTCGGCATGTGAGCCCGTTCTATAGTTTTCATGTAAAGATAAAACACTCCTGCAACACCCAATGCAAATTTATGATTCTACAAATATTTTGTCTTCAATTACCCATTTATTTTTTGCATTTGTCACTCGTGAAGATAACAATTTAGGAGCGTTCGGAAGAGCATATATGAGCTCATTTAAATTTATCTTCAGAAGTTATGCAGAAAGTTGAAGCTATCTGGTCAAAATTATGAAAGTGGCTGGCATAAACTTTTTCTAACAAATTTCAATAAGTTTTGCAGTGAAGCTTATTAAACTACAGAAATGTTTGGATAAACTTCTCAACGAGTACTTCTATAAACTTAAATAAATAAATAAAAAGTCAACATTGAACACACTACAACTTCTATAAAAGCTCTCCTATCTAACTTCCCCATAAATCGAAGTATACAAGTTAATATTACCTTCTGTAAAATCGAGAAATTTATCCAAACAGGTTATACCAAATTTATAGATCCACCAAAATGATAACATAAGCGTCGTAACCAGCACTACTACATAGTACAAAGCATCAATTCCAGCCAAAACAAAACATAGCTCCAAAAAGGCAAAAAAAAAACGTGTTTGTAAGCAAAAGTACCATTATCTTCTCGAATAGTGGCATATCGACTATTAGCCAAAGGGCACGAACTTCTGTTACAGACCCCAGTTACGTTGTAAGGGTTTCTACAGAAATTCCCCGTCGTAATTCTACCAGGAAAAAAAAAGTGAACGGTTATCTTGTCAGAGCATTATCAATAAAAAAAAATCATAAATCGGAAGAGAGACTAAATAAAAGGAAAATCGAAATCAAAAAGTTAGGGAACTGCTTACTTGGCCAAATAACTGCAATGGTTGTGCCTGATAACTTGCCATATGACCTCGTCGTGCTGCATCGTAAGTTTTAGGGTTCAGCTTCGGCGGTGTTGTTTCACGGTGCGACGGACGTCGTTTTACTGCGGAGTGAGTGTACTGGAGGCGCCGCTGTGAACTACGAAGGGAAGGCTTTCTTTACGAGAGATCAGCAGTGGCCTCCGTTGAAACACTGTCGTCTGCGAATGTTTGGATGGGAGTAGGTTTTACTTGAGGGTTTTATTTGAGGTTTTTAATACAAAAAAAGGGGATTGACCTATTAATTTTAAATATATATATATATATATATATATATATATATATATATATATATATATATATATGTAATCATATAAAAAACTTTTAAATAATAAATTGATCAAAATATTTAATTATATAATTCATTTTAATTTTAATTGTTATGTTCAAGTTTAGGACATCTTTCACATTTATTTGTTTTGATATTGAAATATTTCAATTTTAAAATTTGATATTGTATTGTATGACTGGACGGCCACTTAAACCCAACGTCACCTCCATTGATCTACATAGACATGACCGTCAGGTCATCAAAGAGAATAATTGACCGATATGGACGGTCGGCCGCACACGAATAATGATTAAGGAAATTAAGGCAAATCACGAATTAAGCCTACCAGATCAGAATTGGGCCGAGATTAAAACATTGTTAATCCTAGGCCACGCCAAAAAACTATAAATGTAAATCAAAGGTAACAGGTACGTGGACGCATTTACTGTGCATTAATTTCTACCATTGTTATATTGGATAACCCAACGGTTCAATTACTAACTTTGACGTCGGAGTATTTTTAACAGATACACACCAACCGAAATAAGTATATAATATTTTTGAGATTTCAACACAAGATTCTAAAGGTTCTTACTGTCAATTTAACATAAGAAATCAAATTTATTTTATTTAAAAAATATTAAAATTTAATTAAGTTTAAAAAATATAGAAAATTATAAATTTGAATATGAAAAAAAATTATTAGTTAAATTTAAAAGGGTTAAATATGTTTTTAGTCCCTAAACTATTGGCCGTTTCTGGTTTTCGTCCCTGTTTCAAAGTAAGGTACAATTTTTGGTCCTCATTCTTTTCCAAATGTTCGTCTCAGTCCTCGAAAACTAAACACTGTTTAAAAATTTGGTCCTCATTTAGCAACAAATGAGGACTAAAACGAACGTTTCGAAAAGAATGAGGACCAAATTGTACCTTACTTTGAAAGAGGAACGAAAACCAGAAACGGTCAATAGTTTAGGGACTAAAAACATATTTAACCCAATTTAAAAAACAATAATTGATATAAATATGTGTGATGTTTAATTACCTATTGCCCATAAAAATATTACCACTACGCAATGAACTTTTTAACCGAAAAAAAAAATGCATTAGGAGATTTAGAGTTTTAATTCCTTCTCTTCTCTTCATCCAATTATTTTTATATAGCCTTCTTCGAGAAAAAGTTGTTACTTGGATAAAGTTGACTTCAAAAAAAGCAGGTAACTTCTAGGTACGAAGTCAGATGCAGGGTAGCACCACAACAATAGTGTTTTTCGCAAAGGTGGTGTGTATGACTTCCTCAGAGTAAAAATCATTAAGGAAACATTCTAAGAATGTCTTTTTATCTCTTAAAGTCCTTCTAATCTTGTATAGACTTTTGAATAAAGTTGGTATTGTCATTATCTACACAAACAAAAAGAGGCAAAGCACCACAAACAATAAATAAAAATCGTACATGTATTTAATGTTATAAATGTTGTAAAGCGTTTAGGCATGTTTAGTGTACTAAGGGTTAGCGCACAAGTATGCTCTTTTGAGTAATAAAGTGTTAAGAAGATACAATGTTTAATAAAAGTTGTCTTAAATAGTTTGAAATGTTAAATGCACTTTCGTCACAAATTGTTTATGAATTTTATAAAATATTATTCAAGCTCAACATAGACTATTTGCTCACATTATTCAGTATTGTTTTTATAACGTTCTTTAGACGGTTTAAGCTACAAACACTATTTCGTTAAAGTTTATTTGTTAAATTTCAAAACAAAAGTTGTTAGATCATCTTGTTTCTCTAGACAACCTTTGTTTTAATAGTTTTTATAGATTTAAAATAATATTTTAAAATTCAATTCAATTTTTATGTATTTATTTTATTGATTTTAAAAAAAAATAGACACTGCAATTATACGGTTGTTTTAAGATAGGTTTCATTTTTTCAGTCCGTTTGGACTTAGATATAAACAGATAGCGTTGTAGTAAATATTTACATGGCTAACATACTTTTGGCTGCAATGCAGTGGGAATTTTTTTTAACCGAATTCTGACCTTCATTTTGATGCATGTGGTCACAATTCGTTTATTGGGAAACCCAATTCTAAGTTGGGCATTTTAATTTTTATTTTATTTTAATTTTATTAAAATAAAAGAGAAGGAAAAAAATGGTATATAGAGAAAATATTTATTTATATGTTTGAATTTTTTAAATTACATTTTTTAAATAATATTTTTTATTTTCAATTATTAAACAATAGGAGATAGGAATAAAAATTAGGAAATGAACAGTGTATAAATATATGAAACAAATAAAATTTTCATTATTCTAAATTAACAAGTCTCTCATAAAACACATACATAAAGAAAAGGATATTACATTGACATACTGACAAAACATATCAAAGACTAACATTAGTAACTTTACCATCATCAGTGGATGATGAACCACAAACATAATCAAACTTCTCAACCTTCATGAAATTCACATAAAAAGGCATCGTCTCCATAAGGACCATTACTGGATGTCAACGAATCACATGTTTTTCATCATTCCTTAAGAGAACGAAATCAGAAGCTCCTTCTCAACAAATTAGGAAGGAATGTGGTACCATATTGACTTAACACTAGCTTTCATGATCCCAACATGATCCGTCGCATATGACTAATAGTAACCCCATTTGGAAAAAGTACAAAAGGCAAACCTTCCATCTTGAAAATATACACCAACATTAAAAGAATTGAAATCATTCATCTCCTCAAGAAAAACCATCTCTATTTATTCTACTAAACAACTCCACAACTTTTAAACATACTACAATCATCCTTTTATAGTATTGAACTATCAACCATCACCAGCCTACCAACCCTTGTTTGGAAATTTCACATCAGATAATTCAATTTAGATAGACTTCATTATGAACTTGATAGGACTTGACTTGTTAGCTTTATTGGATAAGTGTGACAAAGACTCAGTCTTTCAATGAATGCTCTAACATTGGTATATTCTTTAGTGACATAGTCTCTTAATGAATGTTACTTTAAAACTTTATTGGGTGTATGTGCCAAAAACATTTTTGCTTTAAGTGCCCTTCAATCTAACATCACTTTGGAGATGTTCTAATGACTCAATCTCTCAATTAATCCTCTCACATGCACTTTGTCCATAAAGACAACACTTAACATTTTTATTGGTTAAGCAAGTGAAACGCATCTTTACATTTATTGACACATATAACACACTATTTTCAATATTATTAACGTAACACGGTTTTGGTTTATGTAAGAATTTGATTTCGAGTAACACAAATTATGGAGCTCATATGAGCATAAATTAAACGAAATAGCAATAAGAATTTGGTTCTTGGAGAACCAAATTTTGAACTGTATTTTTTGTTTGGTTTTTAAAATTAAAAAAAAAAGATAGGAAGATAAAATATTTTTAAGATGAAATAATATTTATATTTAAGTTGGAATTTGTAAAATTATATTTAAGATTGTAAATAATTTAGGTTTAATATTATTTTGTTGTTCAAAAGATTAATATATCACAAAATTATTGTATTAATATATTTTAATTGTGTTAGGTTATGTGGTTACATTTTTTTATATGGTTTTATCTTTTTATTTGTGTGATTTGTTTGATTCTTTAATAATTTATTAAAGAATCAAACAAATATTTCCATGAACACTCACTAAAATAGTGAGTGTTTAAGGTTAAGGTTTTAACAGTTATGGATTTTGAAAGTCGGTTAAGGTTTTAATAGTTTTCGAAATCCGTAAAATTCTTATTTAATTTTTAATATTTAAGCATTTTATTATTAGCATTAATATTATTATTAGAATTTAGTGAGGTATTGACCGATAAACATGTTTATCATGTAGGTGATTAATATTTTAGGATGAACAAGTATCCATTTGAGTTGATGAATCCATAAATAAATTTGAGCTTTCTATCCGAATTTTCTTCTTTCATCAATGAAGTGGCGGGGGTGATTACACAAATAATTTTTCAACTGATAAAATATTTCCCTCACACGATGGGTTAATTGAATGGGTTTAAGGGATTGCATTTGATCTTGGATTTGTTATAGTTATTGATAGCTTCATCCAAGTGCAGAAACCAGCAAAACCTTCGTAAAATCTGGATTAGAGGAAGTAATTGGAAACTGGCAATGGAGAAGGTATTGTTCGGTGCCTGTTTGGAGTGGGTGAAGTGCCTAAGTGAAGTGGCTATAGCTTAGAATACCATCCATCAAGGAAGGAAGCTATAGGGGTGAATGGGGAAGTAAGGGAATGACTCTTGGCTGTAGAGAACATGGCTGGAAATTACATCAGCAAAAATTCTCAAATATTCCAAAAGTGAGTTACAAGAGAGGCAAAGGTGAATTTATAATGGATCCACCTAGCCTTGTACGATGCAGATCATTCTCCTATACTGGTGGATCTTTAGCCACGTAGCAGTGCATGTGACGTGTGAAGAAAATCTAGAAGAAGCAATTGGACTCGTGTTCTAAAAGTGGTAGCCAAGACGTGGACGTTGAGCGGTGGACCGGTTACTTCTTTTCAAGTTCTTGATTCCTCTTCATGGCTTGAAGTGTTTCACATTGAACCATCATGTTAGCTCTGGGTTGCCATTTTTAAGTGAATAACTCAGTTTTGGCCTTCTGGAGATGCATCCTCACAACTTTGTTGTAACCTTTTAACCATTCTATGGTTATTGGATCCTTGATTTGAAATTGGTTTGGACCCCGTCTATCAATTATTATTAGATCTAATACAACAAGTGATGAACTCAAAAGAAAGACGTTTGTGTTGTTAGATTGTGAAAGGAGTGAGAAGTACAAGAAGTACACACCTGATGTTCAGTTGAATGTATCCAGCAAAAGAAAATGTGAATGTCCCTTTAAGTTGAGGGGTAAACCCTATTATAAT